ATTTTCAAAAAAATATTTGCCCATCCTTTAAGAAATCTGCCCTTCTCTCCTCTTTTTAATCCAAAGCCCCAAACGCAAATCTTGATGTGATTTGGTGATTACCTAGCCATTGACGTACTTGCTATATATATGTAGCTGTGATCTTGATGCCGTCAATGATGATGATGTTGATGATTTCAATCGGTACTTAATTATGTTATAAACATAAATATTAGCCAGAAAAAAGGGGGCTGGGGATCAACCAAAAACACAATGGATACTTTAAGCTAGACAGCAGTACATTCACATATGTCACACAATCAACCTCATACCGACCGACGGCCGCAGTTTGTGGGTTGTAAGCATGTGTGCCGGACAATTGGTCGATTTGATGTTTAACATCAACAAATGTAATAACATAAATAAATTTTTGCTAAAAAATATCTTTGAAGTTGAATTGAGATTAAGAGATTTGAAATTTTTGTTTTGTTTATTTCTTTTTGTAATTTATTATTATTACCTGTTATTTACATAGAAAATGAGATCGTTTAGTTTAGGAAAAGAGGTACAATAAAAGTGATGTTAATTTTAGAAACTAGAAGATGATTCAAACGCAATACGATTGGAGTGCTTAAATGTTATTGGGTTTTTTGGAATTTCAGATATGAGTTTTCGATTATTGGCGTTAAGAAACATAGGGAGGACCCATTAAACGTTTTCAATAACCTGTAGTTGGGAACATTTATCAAAAAACGCATTGTTTTATGAATTTGAAGGCAAGAAATCCGTTAGACGTATCCTGACGTCGACGACTCAATATTTGAGTTGTCTCTGTTAGTTTTTATACCCTACACGAACAAGATGATCGGGGTATTATGTATTTGAGCACTTCTTTGTAACAGGCAAAGGAAACGAGATAGACCCATAGTTCCTTTTTATGATCTACATAGTATCACATACTGAGTCGATTTATGCATGTCCACCTGTCCGTCTGTCTGTCCATGTATTCTTGTAGACAAAGTACAGGTCACATTTATTGACCGATCCAAATAAAATTTTGCACAAATCATTTGTTTGACCCAAGGACGAACCCCATTGAAATTTGAGATAATCGGTCAAAATTTAGATATAGCTCCCACATATATCTTCGTCCGATTTGCTTTTTATTGCGCACTAAATGTGTAATATTAGCCCAAATGATCTGCATTTTGGCACATCCCACTAAATTCAGTCTAGAGACAAGTACGTCAAATTTGGTCGAAATCGGTTTAGACATAGCTATAGCTCCCATATATATTGTTCATCCGATTTGATTTTTAAGTCCAACACATTCGTAATATGCATTCGACAACAATGAAATTTGGTACCAGATATCAGATTTGTCTCAGAAATACCTTTGCCAAATTTTATCAAGATTGGTTCAGATTTGGATATAGCTCCCATATATATCTTCGTCCGATTTGCCTTTTATTGTGCACCAAATGGCCAATATCAGTCCAAATGACCAGAATTTTGGCACATCCCACCAAATTCAGTCTAGAGGCAAGTACATCAAATTTGAACAAAATCGGTTAAGATATAGCTATAGCTTCCATATATATCTTCAACCGATTTCGAGTTAATTGTGCACCAAATGGCCATTATCAGTCCAAAGGTCCTGATTTTTGGTACATCCGACCGAATTCAGTCTAGAAGCAAGTACATCAAATTTGGTGAAAATCGGTTCAGACATAGCTATAGCTCCCATATATATGCTTCATCCGATTTGATGTTTTAGTCCCTAACATTCGTAATATGCATTCAACAACAATTATATTTAGTACCAGATATCTCATAGAGCTCGGAAATACCTTTGCAAAATTTTAGCGAGATCGGCTAAGATTTGGATATAGCTCCCATATATATCCTTAATACGATTTCAGGTTTATTGTGCAAATAATGGCTAATATCAGCCACATTTCCCTTTTTATGGATCTCGGCTCCGATATATATATATTTCAAATATAATCCTTCTAGAAGCGATATCATGCCCTCTATAGCAATGTTATTGGTATAAAAGATTAAAATTTCTCCGTCAAATTTAGTGAAAATCGATTCAGAACCAAATATGCCTCCCATATATTAGTTCGCTCTGAAACCAATCTATAACTGCTCTAAAGCCAAATGTTGTTAGGTGCTATAACCTACTTCAAATAAATTCTTTTGTTACGGGAACTCTACTAAATATGCATAGCGGTGTAGGGTATCATATAGTCGGTTCCGCCCGACTTTTGACTTTTCCTTACTGGTTTATTTGTGTTTTCCTTTCAAGTATTACCTGATTCAATGACCGCACTTCGTTCACATAACCTCAATTTGTAAAATGGGGGTGCTGGTGGCAGTAATAGTTAAATTTATGTGAGCAAGTGTGTATATAAAGAGGTATTTCTATTAAATTTAGTATATTATAGAATGCAAATGACAGTGGATAATATACGTACATACTACATATGTGCAAAGATCCGAAATAAGCTTAAATATTATTCTATTATATTATTTTTTCAATATAATAAAGAGAAGCAAGGTTTTTGTGGTAAAAAAAAATCTTGCTGGTTGTGGAACAGATCAATAATGAATACCATCAAAATTACTTCTTATATTTGTAGGTTTAATCCGACTATTAATTTGCAATCGTATTTTCCTACTTCTTTATACCACCCTCCATTAAAGTTATTAACTAATAACCAAAAGATTTTCACATCAATTGTTTTTCAACAAATGTGTTAGCTGTTCATGTTTAAAAAAAATGTTGGCTTCTTTTTTTTCTATTTTGGTTTGTTTATACGACCGGGGTATATTTTGGTTACCCGATGCCCTTAACTTATTGCCATAGATTTCGAATGAGAAATCTTAACATGTTTTAGGCGTTGCTTGAACTCTCATTCAAACAAAAAAAAAGCTATTGCTACTAATACTAAAAATAGCAACAACAACAACAATTTGTTTCGCATAATTGTCATACAATAAAATCGTTTGTAACACCACCGCCAGCCATCATCAGAGGTAGTCAAACAAAAATCTGGCGGTGAATTGTTTTTCGGGAAGATAATTGTATTTGTAGCCAAAAATAATGGAACTAACCGTTTAGTCTATGACATTTTTAAAAAGGTGTTAATTTTTTGGGGGGAAATCTTATTTGAAGTGAGTTAACAAATCTCTGGCCCAAGAAGTTTAAATGCCAATCTAAAATCTAAATGAGATAAAGGAATAAAAAACGTTTTTTGCAGCTGGCCGAGGTTCAAATTTGACATGAGTAGGGGTTAGCGATATTTAGAATAAGTTCGTAATCAATTGCTGTTTTAAGTTCTTAATTAGGGGTTTTCTTCTTCACCTAACCCCAAAATGAAGACTTGTTAGAAATTTGTTAGATTTTTAAAAATCTAAATAAATAAATCTTTATTTACATTTTTATATGCAATCTGCAATATATATATACAATAAAATATGTTTAGTATTTAATAAAAAATAGTCTAACCTTTTTTCGAAATTAATTGAATCGCCTGCCAAATGAGACATTTTATATTCAATACTCTAAACCAACACTGAATCATTTTAATTGCATTCTTTAATTATGGGGTTTGTTGTACATGCACCACATTTTTCCCTTGTTGTTGCTGTTGTTATTGTTATTGGATATAATTAAAATAACAATTTAAGTTTAATGTCTTGCAAAATAAACAAATAAATCTAATCAGATCAATTTGAAATGTTCTACTTAAAATTTAGCATGAATGCTTACAAATTGTGAAGTTTTTTTATGGTAAACACTTCTACTTGCGTACGACTGGAGAGAATAATATTGGGTTCTATTGGACTTATTGCTAATTTAAATTTTAGCAATGCTTGTAGGGAATTTTAGAGCTTCTGACATAGAAATAAACATCGATTTTTATACCCTCAGCCATATGGCTAGGAAAAATTACGCGTATCTAATATAAAGTATAAGAAGTAGTTGATATAGTCCAAATCTGGCAAGTTGTAATAATTATAACAGTCTTAGGTCAGATACGAATAGTTCAATATTGGCCAACCGGGTATATACATCTGTCGACAAAACCGACTGATACTTGCTCTGTTCCAGAACCTGCAAAAATCTACTAGTTTTGCATTTTTTCGATATCATAAAGGAAAAATCGGTTATCGTAGTAAAAAGTTTTACATTCTTGCAACTCTGGAATCCAGAAACTATTTTACTTGTTTTTTTTTTCTGATTTTTTTAATAAACATGTCCAGCAATTTTTTCCAGTACAAATATTTTTGAAACTTAGGTAGTTGTTAAACGGGTCAAAATAGCGTCCTTTAATATAAACTTATCCAATATTTTATTATTTTTAATTAAATCCATGAGAAAGTTTTAAGTCAATTGCATTGAGCCAAAGGGTGGGTCTCTTCGTTGAATTATTGACACCCCGGCATCTTTATCTTAAACCCAAGTAAAATTCAAGTGTTTTTTATTTGTTTTATTAAATTTACTGTCAGCCAGTAATGGAATCAATTAAATAATTACATTCCCAACTAATTAATTACAATAATTCCTTTAATTTATGATAATTTAAACCACTCCCTGTAATCTATATTTCAATATTGTAACATTAGAGCATAATAACAAATCAAAAACGATTTTCAAAACTTATTGCCCGTAAAAAATTGAGGTTGATTCATAATTCAGAGACTACTGGCAAAAGGCTAGCCAGGCACTCTCACCTGTCGCAGTGAATTGTGAGCGTTGTACATCCCCCACCATCCATCCATACAACAATGTTGTTTACTCACCACAAAATAAGATTCTATACACATCGTTGGGTTGCCTTACTGAATGGTCATTGTTCACTGGTGTCTGTCCGGCCCTTAACAAGTGGCTTAGCTAGTAACAGCTATTTGCAAGCTGTTGATGTACAAGCTGCCGATGCTCAATGAACAATGATTCTTGCTGTATGCTTTTGCGCGCATTGAGTTGTTTGAGGTAAATATTGTGATGATGGCAAACGGAATTGACCGGCTATAAAAGCTATAGACTCTCCAGAGTTAGGTATTAGTAGCTGTTTAGTAGTTTTAGAGTTAATAGCTTTTGTGAATTTGAACGGATTACCACAGTTGCCAATCTCCATTTGTTTTATTCAAAGCCAACATGAAGTGTTTTGTAAGTTAATCCCATAAAAAAGGATAAAAATGCTAAAGTGTATATGTGTGTGTTTTTAGATCATTTGCGCTGTTATTGCCTGTTCCCTTGCTGTTTTTGTAAGGGCTGAAGATGATCAGATTGCTGCTGCATCAGAAAATTCTTCGCAAGATCAATTATCGGCATCGGCCAGCAGTTTGAATCCTTATTCGGAAAAACATCAAGGCAAGCGATACGTAGGTGGTTATAGCGGACTTGGAGGCTATGGTGGTTATGGAGGTCTAGATTCGACAACATTGGGCTATGGTGCTGGTCTAGGTGCCTATAGTGGAGCCCTGGGCGGTGCTGGTTATGGCGGTTATGCCGGCTACGGTGGTTATGGCGGTTATGCCGGTTATAACTCCAGATTGGGATTGGGTAAGTTGTGTTTAATAAATGTTTGAAGCAAGGGTAGCCGTTACTTTCATTCAATTTGAATTTTTTTAAATTCTTAACATAAATCAAATTTTATTTGGAGATCTCAAGGTCCATTCAGTTCATCCTAAATAATCAATTTCTACACTTTCTTCACATGGTCTTCATTACTATAATTTCATCGTGTTATTAAAAATCTAAACCTACAGTTTCAAATAAGGCCCTCTTTAGATTAATTTCTGTGACCGGGACATGCGGGTTTCAAGGTTCTGCAATCTTTCAATTGTATTAAAAATGGAAGAATGTCTATGGAGCTTCCGTAGCACCCTATTAATATTTTCTGTTTTTTAATTTTATCTCAGAAAAGTTCAAAGATTTCAAATCCTTGTACTTTTCTCCGTCTCGGTTGGCATTTCTGCTCAGAAAAGTTCGATGACGTCAGATACTTGTATTTTGCTTTTCTGCAATTTCTGTAAATCTTCTGTTTGAAACATGGGTTTCCAGACAGCCCTTTGTATATAGAGTAGTCAATTTTGGATAGTGTTATAACAATAAAATCTCTTCTGATGCTATTTCGATAATTAGGGGCAGCTCCTATATTTATTATCCACAAATTTTATATGGTATAATAAAATGGAGTATGGATATACTCCTTGCATCAGTGTCCTTACCTCTTCAGTGGAAGTGATAGGCATTGACATCAGGGATGCGATTTTATCATTTCCAAGTCTTTATTAAACAGTTATGCAATAATATTTTGTGGAAACCTTTCCAACTTTGATTTCCTTTGAGATATTATTAAGAATAATATCCCCAAGATTTGAACATGACCTCAAAATATTTTCCCCTCCCAAAAAAAAAAAATTAATTTTTTATGTTTTACCCCTTTTTAGATGGCTATGCTGGTTATCCAGGCTATAATGGTTACTATCCCGGCGGCAGTTATCCCTATGGCAGCACATACTACAACAGCTATCGTGCTGGTGCCTATCCTTATGGTCGTGGCACTTATGGTTACAATAGCTATCCTTCTAGCTATTATTCCGGCGGTTATGGCAGCAGCATTGTTGGTGGTGGTTTGGGTGCCTTGGGTACACCCGGTTATGTACCACCTGTTGCCGGTGCTGGTTACAATTATGGTCCCGGCATTACCGGTACTGTTTACTAAAAGCAAAACCAAAATGAGAGTCTGACTCTCTCATTTAAGTTCAAAATCAATTTAGATCAAATTCTAAAATAATTTTTTTACGCAAAATAAATTAAAATATGAATATATATAAAAAAATCTAAGGCGTTTTCCACTTTTTTATTTAATAAATGTTTTTAGAATATGCCACTAAATGGTTTCAATCTTTCCCTCGAAATATTTAAGAGACAAGTCTGCCTATCTATCAATCTATGATGAAAACTGATTCGATTTAATTTGTAAAATCGGAATTGTATACATTTTTGTGGTCGTTAATAATGTAAAAGACATTTCTTTGTCAGAGCTCAAATTCTACTTCTTGTACACACCCTCGTTTCTTCATTGAAAAAATACCAGAATTCCTTTTTACAATATTTTGGTAATTTATTGCTGCCATATTAACATTGTTTACATATTTCACAATAACATTTTAATATTAAATTGGAATTAAATACATATATAATTTAAATGAGATTTTCTATTTCTTTATTCTTTATAGTTCGATTAAGTTTAACAATTTGCACTAAATAAGAGGAAATGACATAAAATGTGGGTGGACAATAGGGGTAGGGGATAGTCATACATTCTCAAGCAATAAAGAACATACCAACATATGTGGAACATAGATTAAACTAACAAAAGGGGGCAACATACATGGAATGATAGAGTACATATCAAGTGTTATTTTTCGATAACATACATATTAAACAAAAAAATTGATTTTGAAATAAGAAGAAAAGATGAGGGGAGAAAAGTAACTAAAATTAATGACTAACACAATGCAAATGAGATAAATTAATGAGTAAATTTGGTTAATTGTACATAAATTTCGGATTAGCTGTTTTTATATGTTTACGTTTCCGCCTTCCACTGTTTAACCTTCCTTCAAAGAGTTACCCCATTCACGGGCAATCATGAAAATTGTATGCTGATTTAGTTTGGGTCCAATCAAAGGATTCATTTGGGCCATGTAACAGCATAACCAAAAAAGCCAGCAACAACAACCCGTTAACATTAATGTGCAGCGTATTAGATTTTGATGTGGCCCTTTTGGCGTCATCATGGGCAAGCCAATACCAACTCCAGCCCATACGGCAGTAAAGAATAAAATTGGAAAGAATGAGGCTCCCATTTTGTAGAAATATTATATATTTTAACTTTTTTCAGCAGGAAAACACCAAGAAATTATTTTTTTTTTCGTTTTTTTCTGTACAATGAAAAACAATGGCAATGACAGCTCACAGAAAATACTATCTTCTTCTTATTTATGGCAAGTATTCACGGTGGCTTGACGACATTTAGAAACAAACAGTGTTGCCACTGTGAAGAGTAACCAGGAAATGAAAATAAAATATTTTATGGCAAATTGACTGTTGAACTGCATTTGCCGTTATATTTAAATTATAAATTTAGAAATAATTGAATGTACTTTATTACTTAATTTATTTTAATTTATTATAAACATTTTACATTTACTTTTTTGCAAATGTTCACTACAGACAACACGAAAAAAGTTGTTTAATTTAGGAAATGCATCTTTTTACTAGAAATAAATAACTAAAAAGTTTGGTTTCTTTTCTTGCAGAAATTATACAGAAGTTTCATTTTGAGAGTGTAAAGATGAGGGTACATAAGCAGCTTTGTTTCATGGCTAGGAATTTTAATGTCAAATTAAAAGGAAAAACGACGGCAGGATTTGAGTGCGACTCTGGCAAAATATGGACGAAATCTCTGCAAAAGCTTGCAAGCAATCAACTGATTTGTCGAAACAAAAAGTCCGCCACAAATAGAAATCAGCACTCTGAACTGTCAAACCAATTTTGGAATTGAAAATGTTGAATTAAAAATTATTTAAATTGGCAAAAACACTTGAAAATGCGAATTATAATAAAATCTACTTTGACATATCAATGTTCCCAAGCATCGACACAGCTGCTGGGGCACTGAACAGTCAAAAAAATTTTAGAATTGAAAATGTTGAATGAAAAATTACTTAAATTGGCAAAAGTTGTTGAAAAATGCATATCGTAACAAACTCCGAAAACATATAAAAATTTACTTATTTTCGTCAAAACATTTAAATATTTTTGACATATCAGTATTCCCAAGCGTTGATGCATCTACCCATATTCTTTTACCATGAGCTCCAGCATTAAAAAAGGACTTCAAACGTTGCACAGGTACACAGGAATTCCTTGATATTCCAATTTAGGATCATCCTTAAATAATATGTTCATATTTCCTATCCATCCTAATATAAAAATATTTCATCTGAACGTGGTAGGGTTTTCTTGACACGAGATTTTTTCTTCAAATCTTTTATGATCTAATGTGTATGGGTAAATATTTAATGTACCGATGACATGAACTTGAGAATTATCATGTTGCTACTGTCGTATAGTAGACTGGCAAAAATCAAATAGCACTACCCAAAAAGTTGTATCCAAATTTAAAAAAAAATTGTAATCTATTTTGCTGTTGATTTTTTTTTCGTTGGAGGTTACAGAGATGTGTAGTATAGAAAGATAGATAAGAAATTACCTACGAGGATGGCGGTGATGCGAATTGATGGAGAAAAGGCGCGCGGTAAGGCAACAGATTGATATCTCAAACACTAGAGTACAGAACGTTGCAGAGGTAACGTAATCAAATCAAATATGTTTAATGATAAGATCGTCTTATGTTCTTTTTTGTTTTTTTTTTTTTTTTTTTTGCCATACTCCGGACAAACTAAAAATGTCTGATAATAAAGATTAAAATGATGATGTTAAGGCTGCTGTTGTGGTAGTTGGCGAAAAATTCAACGGTTTTCAAATCAATGCAGTGGGCGCCAGCAGCGGTGACGGATAACAACAACAAATCCTACTGAGAATTTTTGATACAAATATCAGTGGTTGTGACTAAAAGGATTTTAGTTGTTTGTTAAACTAAGACGATAGTAGCTGGATATAAAACAGTTGTGTTGTGTGTGTTCCTCTCTGAATGTGCTAAAGAGAAAGTGAGTGCAATTATAAAATAAGAAGCGTTTGGAAAGAAAAAAAGAAGATATTTGCATTGAAAATAAAGTGGACAAATAATAAATTATATATAAAATATTATCTAAATAAGTGGAAACAATAAAAAACTATTTTGTATTTTAATAAAACAAAATGTTACACAGGAGATTCCAAACTCGTCTCCATAAAATAAATATGACAAATAACAATGCTACTTAAAGTGTGAACACTGTTTAATGTATTGTATAACAGCTGACTGCAAGCTAAGCTAATAGCACATTTACATACCTAGATAAATTATAGCGAACATAACAACAGAAAATATTGAGCTTTTGTGACATTTGCAACAATTTAAATAGACATCATTTATTGATGCATAATGATTTTTATCAAAATTGTAGTTTTTTATTCCAACTTCAATTTTTAATGATAATTTAACATGGTTGTCATTCATTTGTTCACCTACCACCAAATATTTTTTTCCCTACAAGCCTCCCATTATGACATAAGAATCCCTTAATGAGCCAAATGAAAAGAATGTAAACAAAGCAAATAATAAAAAACGCGCGCGCACACACGCACACACACATGTAATACCCTTTGTTCTGTGTTCTCATTTCTTAATGGACATTGGAAATTTACATTTTTAAAACTGTTGTTTTTGCTTCTTTGAGAATGAACTTAAAATAAAATGAAGTTCAGTATAACAATCTTGGGATATTGTTTCATAATTTCTTTAATATTCCCGCTTGATGTGATGATGTTTCTATAAATAAACTTCTTTGCAAGGTTTGCAGTTTCATGTAGAACTGATTGTATTAGTGAAATACAGTAGCTACTCTAAAGGGGGAAACTTGTCAAAAATTACTTAAATGTCACATTTAAATACATCCTTGCTGTAATACTGTATAGTTATTTTGATAAAATTGAATTTAATTTTTATTTTATTTTACATTCCACTTGTTCCAATTTTAATAACCTATAAACCATGGTAAAATTAAGCATTCCCATCTTTGCATTTTCTTTAATTTACGTTGTCAAATTTAACTGCATAGAAAGCCGGTTTCCATCTCTGATTTAGTTATTATAATAAATAGAAATAATTATTAATAAATATAAATTTTGACAATGAGATGTTGTCAAATGAATAATTTTTAAAAAAAAATTGTGAACATATGATTGCATGACATACCTTCTTAATTCTACCATGCCTACAAAAAAAAAAAAAAAAAAAAAAAAAACAAAAACAGGCACAATATTTTTGCTCTTACTCACAGAGTAATATGTTGGTAACTGATCATCATTTAATAATGACGTATTTTTCAAATTTTAAGAGAGTCATAAATCTTATCAATCACTTTGTTTATGATGTCATTACCCATTTTAACAATAAAATTCTAAAATCAAATTAAATTTAGAATTGTACCAGCAAAGATGACATGAATAGTTGTTGATTTTCTATTCATAACAATTCTTGGACATCAATTCATTATAGAGATCAAAGAGAATAGTAGGATTCGATTTTTGTCAAATTTCATAGATAATATCATGTCAAAACAATAGAGGTAGACTCATTTGGCAAATGGAATATGGCAACCCTTTTAATTTAATTTTTCATATATCCTTAATATTTACGTATGACGAGAGTCATATATTAAAAAAATAATAAATATTTTTCATTGGGACCATGGTAGAATTAAGAAGGTAAAGTCAGGCAACATCTCATTGTCAAAATCTCATTGTCAAAATTTGTATTGATAAATCTATTGTATACACACTAAGCAGAGATGGAAACCTGTTTTCTATGCCATGTAATTTGATAAAGTAAATTACAGAAAATGCAGAGCTGGCAATGATTATTTGAAATGACTTTACCGTCTTTATTTTACCATGCATTTCTTGTCAGTTGTACGCCCATATATAAGGAAGAACTGTTGCAAATTGTCTGTCTGGACAATGAAGGATATTGATCTATTTATTTGACAATTGCAAAATTTTAGAACAATTGAAAAAAGAAAACATTTTCATCTGAAACTTAAACATTTTTATTATTCATAACATTTAAGCTTTTCGTCCCTTATTAGGATTTATTTGAGGTATCTCATGGTTTAGGAACATTGATATGTCGAATAATTAAAATGTTTTTTTTTTTTTTTTTCAAAAATAAGTAGATTTTCCATTGTTGTAATAATATGCATTTTTCAAAAAATTTTCATTCAACATTTTCAATTGCAAAATTGATTTGACAGTTCATTGTCCCAGCAGCTGTGTCGATGCGACTACCTGCATTCTTCTACCGTGCCTGAGAACCATCAGCACTTAGGAACATTGATATGTCTTTTTTTAATTTTTTTGTCAAAAATAAGCATATTTTTATATGTTTTCTATAGGACGGAAATTAGAGGTTGTTATGATATGGAAATTTTGAAAAATTTTACAAATTTCATTATTTTTTTTATTCAAAATGGTCAATTTCAAAATTGGTGTGACAGCTTATTGTCCCATCAGCTGTGTCGATGCGTCTAACTGTATTCTTTTGCCATGTAGAGAACCTATTCTTATAGCATGTTCACATTTGAGTTTTTTTGTCTATTCTTGTGAGGATTTATTTGAGGTATATGCAATTGAATAGCCAGTTTAAATCCATTTTATTTTCTGGATTCTGTAAAATGTAAACCTACTATTATTTCAGACTCTTTTTTCAGCCAAATTTCCCATGAAATGTTCAGTGTTTATGTTTATGCTAAACAGCTGAACATATTTTCTCTGGTAACATCCAGTAAACTCTCAGTGCACAAATGTCAGCATTTCCCGTCATTTCGGCTTTTGCTTAAAAAATATGATATCCCATCAAATTTTGAAATAATAGTTACAAAATATTAACAAAAAAGCCAAATGTGACATTTGAGTTTTCTTTTAGAATTTCCCCGTAGCCACAGCAGTCCATTAAATTATGCAAAAAAAAACCTTTTTTCTCACTCTCACTCTCCCACTCCCCCTCTCTCTCAAAGAATTTACTTTCTTCTCCCGAAAATATTTATATAAATCCTCTAGCATCTGGCAACTTATAACTTGCCTTTAGCCTGGCAACAATTTGCGCACGCACACTTTTCGCCTGGATTATTGAAAAATTTCCATATTTCGTTTCTTTTTTTTTTTGTTTTTCAATCAGGTGTAATCAATGAAATCAATTTTTCGAATACAATGATCAGTATCGATTAAACAGTGCACGCGGCGGTTTTGTTTTGCAGGCCCGGGGAAAAACGTTGCGGCATCTGTTTCATTCAGTTTTGCCTGGCATTCATCCCACTCAAACAGCAATAAAAGTAAACAATTATGAGTTTGGGATTTTTATAAAAAAAAAAGAACACACACACGCACAATCATTAATGAGTGAATTAATTAAATAATTTGAAGATAAATTTTTTGACATAAAAAAGAAGTGTATCTCTGAAAGTTAATGTAAAAAATATAATATTCTTAATTGAATTGCAATTGAGAATTTAATTCAATATTATCATTCAACAAAGACAACAAAAAAGTTCCTTATGTTAGCCATTTTTACTGGATTCACAACTACACAACTTGCTTTTAGTGATTTATTTTTATTATTTTTCGAAACGGCGGCGGCAGCGGCGGCGTTCAATTGTTTACATTACATCTGGTGTTTGAATTTCTTAATGTTTACATAAATTTATCAGAATATATAGCAATAATAATAACAACAACACCACCACCACCATCACCACATTCTCCTCATCCTCGACCTCATCATTGACAGTGGCGGTAACAGCAGAAACAGAAAGAACATCAGCAGCAGCATCATCATCATCTACAGAAGAGCGGAATATGGATCATTCATAGTGCGCTCAAATCTTAGGCACACAATTCAAGAAAAAGCAACAACAGCGAAAATATTTTGAATATCAGCGATTCAGTTATATTATTGGTAACTACGGCGTTTTTTTTTTGTACTTGTTTCTGGTATATTTTATAAACAAAACATAGTTTCTATTTTTTTTTTAATTTGGAAAAGAACTATTTGTCATTACATAACGTTTTTTTTTTTTGGTTTTTATGAAACATCTCGTAATTAGAAAGGGGTAATTATTAAAGGAATTCCGACCAGGGGGTAATTATTAAAGGAATTCCGGTAGAAGAATACATGTAGATGCATCAACGCTTGGGAACATTGACACGTCAACATTTTTAAAATGTGTTTTCAAAAATAAGAATATTTTCATAAGTTGTCTTATACGACACCAATCGGCGGTTGTCATGATGCGCATTTTTCAACAATTTTTACAAATTTGAATAATTTTTCTTTAAAAATTTTCAATTCCAAAATTGGTTTGACAGTTCATTGTCCCAGCAGCTGTGTCGGTGCGACTACTTGTATTCTTCTACCATGGTAGAAATCAAATTTACATATGGTCAGAAGAAGAAGCAAATATTAAACCACGTTTACATAAGATCACATAACTGCATAAATGTAACGTAAATTACGTGTCTTGTAGATGTCAATCAACAAGATAATAACCATGGTAGAAGAATACAGGTAGATGCATAAATGCTTGAAAACATTGATATGTTAACATTTGTTAAATGTTTCTTCAAAAATAACTAGATTTATATGTTTTTCTATACGACGTCAATCGGAGGCTGTTATGCTATGCATTTTTAACATTTTTTACAAATTTGAATAATTTTTCATTAAAAATATTCAATTCCAAAATTGGTTTGACAGCTCATTGTCCCAGCAGCTGTGTCGGTGCGACTACTTGTATGCTTCTACCATGCATGGCAGAAGAATACAGGTAGATGCATCAACTCTTAAGGGCTAAGTACATAACAAGCTTGAAGTCATGGCTAGGCATATTAATGTCAAATTATAATGGAAAACGACGGCAGGATTTTGGTGCGGCTCTGTAATCCCTTTATGAAATGTCACAAAATATGCCTAGCCATGACTTCAAGCTCTTTATGTATTTCCAGCCTTAGGAGCATTGATATGTCAAAAAAAATTTAATGTTTTTTCAAATATAAGTAGATTTTTATATGTTTTCTTATACTACGTCATTCGGAGGCTATTATAATTTGCGTTTTTCAACAATTTTTACAAATTTAAATAGTTTTTCATTCAAAATTTTCAATTCCAAAATTGGTTTGACAGTTCATTGTCCCAGCAGCTGTGTCGACGCGTCTACCTACATTCTTCTACCATGTCTACCATGGTAGAAATCAAATTTACATATGGTCAGAAGAAGAAGAAAAATATATTAAACCATGTTTACATAAGATCACATAACTGCATAAATGTAACGTAAATTACGTGTCTTGTAGATGTCAATCAACAAGATAATAACCATGGTAGAAGAATACAGTTAGATGCATCAACGCTTGGGAACATTGATATTTAAAAAAATTTTAAATGATTTTCAAAAAATAAGTAGGTTTTTATATGTTTTCTTATAGGACGTCAATCGGAGGCTGTTATTCTAGGCATTTTAACAATTTTTACAAATTTCAATAATTTTTTATTCAAAATTTTCAATTTCAAAATTGGTTTGACAGTTCATTGTCCCAGCAGCTGTGTCGATGCGACTACCTGTATTCTTCTCAAATGTCGTTTCTATAGCGTATACGCTAAAAATAAAAATAGTGAATTTAGTAGTCTAAACGTGCTCTTACATAAGACATTTTTTTGTTTGTGGATGCATCAACGCTTAGGAACATCGATATGTCAACATTTTTAAAATGTTTTGTCAAAAATAAGTCGATTTTTATATGTTCTTATTCTTCCAATTTGAAATTTCGGCATTTATATGCCTTAAAAATGAATTGTAACATAAATAGATTGCGAAAACAATGTGAATTCTAGAATAGAGAAAATCATCCGTTTACTTTTTGTCGATAAAGTGACCCGTTGTTTTTAATGTATTTATTACAATAGATGTGAAATTTTACAAAAAAAAGGTGCCACTCGTCTTGGATAAAGCTGCTATCAGACGATAGGGGTTTTACATATGAGCTGTCGCATTTATTATCCAAATGTATTTTTGTGTGTATGTCAAAATAGTCATTTTACATATGACTCATAGTTCTTGCTATCACACACTTGCATATGTATTTTTTATATCCCTCGATTATATTGTGATTATAACAAATTTTAATATTTTATGGATGATTTTTTATCGCAAATTTAACTTAAACATTTTCTGACAACAAACAAAAAACACTCTTCATTAAATTACAATTTTCAAATGAAAATAGGGCTCGCTGTGATCGAAAAAGTACATATGCACTTTACTCATGTATTTCACAATTCATGGTAGAAGAATATAGGTAGACGCGTCGACACAGCTGCTGGGACAATGAACTGTCAAACCAATTTTGGAATTGAAAATGTTGAATGAAAAATTATTTAAATTTGTAAAAATTGTTGAAAATCGCGAATTATAATAGCCTTCGAATGACGTAATATAAGAAAACATATAAAAATCTACTTATATTTGAAAAAACTTTTGAATTTTATTGACATATTAATGTTCCCAAGCGTTGATGCATCTACCTGTATTCTTCTGCCATGTCACAATTGAAATGTCGTCCATGTATCACACATTTTTTGCAACTTTAACATACGGAAATTTTGACAGCGCCTTAAATATTTTTGGAATTAATTTTAAAATTGAAATTTGAAAATGATAGTCTTGTCTTGTTTACTGGCGTCAATTCGTATCGTTCTCTTTGGAACTTGCCTCTTGCAAAAGGTATAGGCCGAAAATTGCCAGAACGAGCATTTCCATTAAGGTGAGAATACATAACCCGTTTTTTTTTTTTTTTTTGACTGTCTTAAGTCATCGGCTGGCTTCTTCGGAAATGAACAAAGGCTAAAATCGAACTAATTCAACATAAAACTACTTTATTTCTCTACGAAAAAGCCAGTCAAGAAAGCGTTTTATTCTCACCTTAACTCCTCTCATCTAAAAACAAAGAATTTCCGCCAGAAAACTTGTCTAATATAAATTCGAACATAGATAATTTCCAATATTGCCGTGGCAGAAGAATACAGTTAGATGAATCACCACTGTTGGTGACAGTGATATGTCAAAAATTAAAAAACAAAAAAATATTTTTTTATTTTATGTGATTTTTTTCAATAAGTTTTGCAAATTTTGTAAAAAAAAAAATAGAAGAAAAATTTTGAATTCAGAAAATTTTTTGACAAATTTTCATACCAAAATTTTAAATTCAGAAAATGTTTTGATTGCACATTGATGTGGCTGCCTGTATTTCAGAGTATGTTTACGTTAGAGCTTTTAGCATTTATTTGACGTATATGCCATCAACTCGGTTTATTAAACCCGGCAAGTTGTTAACGTACTATCATGGTAAAATTAAGAAGGTAAAGTCATTTCAAAAAAACATTTTCTGTAATTAATCTTGCCAAATTTCACTGCATGAAAAGCAGGTTCCCATCTCTGATTTGTGTATGTGCAATGGATTTTTTAAATATACATTTTGACAATGAGATGTTGTCAAATGAATAATTTTGTAATGTAATGTAAACATGTGATTGCATGACTTTAAAAAAATAGATAATTGCTCCACGGTAAAATTAAGAAGGTAAAATCATTTCAAATAAGCATATCCAACTCTGGATTTTCTGTAATTTACCTTGTCAAATTTATCTGCATAGAAAACAGGATTCCATTTGTGATTTGTGTATACATAATGGGTTTATAAATATACATTTTGACAGTGAAATATTTTAAAATTAATAATTTTGAAAAAAATGTAAACATATGATTTCATGACCTTATTTTTTAATTCTATGAGCTTGGCATCATGGCCAGGCTTAATAATGCCAAATTATAAGGAAAACGACGGCAGGATTCGAGTTTGGCTCTGGCATATCTTTATATATGTCACAAAATATGACACACACATTTACAATGTCACAAAGTTTTTCCCCAGACACATTTACAATGACAGAGAGTTTTTCCCCAGAAATCATTATTAGGTCATTGAACAATCCATTCATGTAAATGAATACTTTTTTACGGTACTTTTTTTGCATTGCCTTAAGACGGCAGTGTTACATTTGTTTTATTTTTTATTTTTACAAACTTTTAAATTGAATTAAACCATTTATGCCGTTGCTAATTGGAGGCTCAATTATATATACATATTAACATATTTTACACGTACTGGATAAATTAAATTCATGATGTAACGTTTTTGGGTGGAAATTTGTTTTTGGGCAATGTGAGGAAAATTTGTTGCTTTTAATTAACATGCAAAACAAATATATTATACGGACATAATTCCAAGAGTCATTGAAGAGTGAGTTCGCAATTTGATTTGCAAATTATTTTTAGTCCTGTGTAGAAAATAACAAAAAAACAGAAGGCGTTTCAACAGGTGTTTACGGTGTTATAACAAAAAAAAAAAAAAAAACTTATTAAGGAAGTAAGATCAGCAAAAAAAAAAAAAAAAAAGCAGATAAATAAATTTAACAACATCTACAACAAGGTTCGCACTGTCCAACGAAACGTTGTTTCAAATAAAAAACGATTTTTTTTTGGCTCCAACCAATTAGCATCCTTTGCTTTGTAAACAATAAGAAAAGGATATCCTCTTATATAAGTTTATATTTTTTTAACATTTACCCACGCTGGCTTCCACACGTATCTAGATAAGATAATCCATATAAACAATTATCTAGTATACGCATGAACAGATTTGTCAAAAGCAACAGAAAACAGTTTTTTTTTTTTGTACATTCACTATTCTCTTGCACACTACCGCTTACCTGTCATTCATAATTTCAAGGTTTACTTTAGTTAAATTGTTTTTTGTGGTTGTTGCTGTTGTTGTTCGCTTATCACAAATATTGGATGAATACTTTCTTTGACGACATTGCAGTGGCAATGATTCCCTTTTAAAGATAAAAGCTAAAATTATATTTTAAACCAAAAAAAAAAAAAAAAACTTCTTGGTAGCCATGAGTAAAGAGAGCAACTAAGGAGGAGAGAGAGAGAGCGCGCGCAAACGGCAGGCAGGTACACGATAAATCGTGAAAGCCAAACAAGCTTCATTTGTGTTTATACGATGTGGGATTACTTTGGTTATAAATTTTGGTGTGAAACATTACAAAGAAAATAAATGCAAGCAAGATAATGTACAATCCAGCCATAAAAAATATTAAGGTGGATGGATGCTACTTATTATTATTGTTATTAATTTTGACTTATTGTTGTTATCAAAAAATTTATATATACTTTTTTTAAGTTAAAATTTCTTTGGCATTTATTGTAAAGTAAAAAAACGCGAGTCGAGTGCGAAATTTGATAGTTTTTTTTTTTTTTTTACTGAGACAGCAAATTTCTTTTTCTTCTTCCTTTTTGAATACCCAGTGATATGTTTTTGTGAGAAAAAAAAATGTTGAAAACATTTTTATTTTGGGAAGGTGCAGATGGTGTTTTTACTGGCTTAAGTTATTGGTTTGCTGTTTGGTAAAAAAAGAAAGAGGCGTAGGGTGAACAAATATAAATTATGGGCCGAAACTGAACTAAGGCAACCTAACGTTACTTTGCTTTTTTATGAAGATGACTTATAGTGCGTTTACATTATGAAGGATTTAAGGTGAGAGTACATAAAACGCTTTTTTGACTGGTTTAAAGGTTAGAGTACATAATACGATTTTTTGACTTGCTTAAGTCATCAGCTGACTTCGTCGTAGAGGGAGAAAGCAGCTTTAGGTTGACTTAGTTCGATTTTGGACCTCCGCTCCTATGTTCTTTTCCAAAGAAGCCAGCCGAAGACTTAAGCAATTCCAAAAAGCGTTTTATGAATTCTTACCTTTAGAAAACCCAGTCGGTTTAAAATGTCAATTACATTCCATATACCTCAAATTAATCTTCATAAAGAAGGTTAATCTGAAAAAAATTCACACGTAGACTCAGCGTTAAACCAATCAAAAACCCTTTTCTATAAGACGAAATGTTTTTTTCATATGTGATGTCAAATTTTCCATATGTAGAAGATGCACACATCGTGTGATACATGGACGAAATTTCAGTTTTGAAATACTTGAGTAAAGTACATACCATGCTAGAAGAATACAGGTAGTCGCATCGACACAATGAACTGTCAAACCAATTTTGGAATTGAAATTTTTGAATAATCAATTATTTAAATTGGTAAACATTTTAAAGATGCATATCATAACAACCTTAGATTGGTGTCTCATAAGAAAACACATAAAGACTACTTATTTTTCATAAAACATTTTAAACTTGACATTACATATGAGAATATCCACATACCATGTGATACATGGACGGCATTTCAGTTGTGAAATACATGAGTAAAGTGCATACTATGTTAAAAGAATACAGATAGTCGCATCGACACAGCTGCTGGGGCAATGAACTGTCAAACCAAATTTGGAATTGAACATTTTGAATAAAAAATTATTCTAATTTGTAAAAATTATTGAAAAATCGCTGTTTATAATAACCTCAAAATTGACATCGTATAAGAAAACATATAAAAATCTACTTATATTTGAAAAAAAAAAACATTAAAAAATGCAGAGATGGATATCCTTATTTGAATGACTTAACCTTCTTAATTTGACCATGAGTATAAATCACTGGAGTTTTTTCCCTCCGTTTACCAGCAAATATTAAACAATTTGACCATTGCCGAATAATGAAACAAGGATTTCAAGCTTAATTTTCTTTAATTAATTAATTCCTTTAGCTTAAAGCTGCTGTGTAAACCCTTTGATTATTATTTAAGTCACATGGCCACACATCGAATTAGCCAATTACTTTCCCTACCATATATACGACTTGATTAACATTTCCAATTTTACCAACATTAATTTTTCAACACTTTAACAACAATACATTTCAAAATTGTTGTTGTTTGGTATATATAAATATACATATAAATGTTTGCAAAATTTTTATAAACATTCTATTGGTATTTTATGTTCAATTTAGTCTACACAAAATGCTAAAGTATTCAATCGTTTTCGGGTTTTGTAAATTTTAGTTTTCCGCAAATACACAGACACACACACACATACAAATTTTGTTTAAACATATACTAAATGGTGTTTATATTAACTTGGGGTAAAATTAAAATATAAACAATTTTTTTGAACACATTTTAAGATAAATCTTATCAAATGCAAACACAATTTAGAAACTATTTAAAGATAAAATAAATATATATATTGTGTGTTTTTGTTTTAAACAAACTCCAATGTAGTTCCGCATTAAATTACTCAGCAAAACAACAACAACAACACACGCCATGCTGAGAATATTCTCATTGGCAGTCTTTTGTAAAATATTTCTATTGAAATGTCACTTCCACTGGGGCATGAGAATACATAAAAGTTGTCCTTGGATTTTTTATCGAATTCACGTGCTTTTATTTAATTGGAGATTATGTCTAAACTTTTTTTATTTCAAAATGGAAAAAGTACTCTCCTGAGAACTATTTTGTGTTAAGGGACACGTTTGGATTAAAAAGTTGTAAAAGTTTAAGATTCTTGCATATTGAGGAACAGAGCTAATACGTGTCAAACAATAAAGGATTAAGTACGTCTTAGCATGGCAAATTTTGTGACATATCATAAAGGGATGCCAAAGCCGCATTCGACTTTTGCCGTCGTTTTCCTTTATAATTTGACATTAATATTCCTAGCCATGATGCCAAACTGTTTATGTACTCTCGCCTTAATATTTCTTTAAAACTGCTATCAGACGTTAAGGGTATTACATATGTCCTGTCACTTTTATTGTCCATGTGTATTTCCGTGTGTCTGTCAAAATTGCCATTTTACATATGACTCATAATTTTTGCTATCACACACGTGCATATGTTTTTTTCTTATTTCCTTTGCTAACATTGTGATTGTATTTCCCATGGTACAATAAAATGGTAGAACAGGTTCGTAAAACTACAGAAATATAGCCCTGAGGCTATGCCCGCTTCCTGTCAGACTCATTCAAAATTATATACAACAAGTTCTTAATATTTTTTTCATATTTTTCCGTCTTTTTAAAATGAGTTAAATAGCACGAAAGATGAATGAAATGCCTGGATTTTCTCTCAAAAATATGATCCAAACTTTCCAATCTTTCAATTTCATGGCTAAACTGGTTAATAGCTTTGATGCCCGAGCCGCAATGTCGAACACACTTAGGGTAGAGATACATAAAGCGCATATTTGGTTGGCTTAAGTCATCGGCTTGCTTCTTCGTAGATGAACAAAGGAGTCTTAGGTTGACTTAGTTCGATTTTGTCTCTACGCTCCTTTGTTCATTTCCAAAGAAGCCAGCCGGATAAGCGCCCTACCTTTTTATTGTACCATGGTATTTCTTGAAAAAATATAAAATAATACGTATGTACTTTACTCATGTATTTCACAACTAAAATGTCGTCCATGTATCACACGATGTCTACATATGGAAAATTTGACAATGCATTTGTAAAAAAAAATATCGTCTGATAGAGCCTTAAACATGGCAGAAGAATACAGGTACTCGCATCGACACATCTGCCGGGACAATGAACTGTCAAACCCTATTTGTGTTGTTTAAAAAAACATATAAAAATCTATTTATTTTTTTTTAATATTTGACATATCAATGTTCCCAAGCGTTGATGCATCTACCTGTATTCTTCTACCATGATATGTACTTTACTCATGCATTTCACAGCTGAAATGTCGTCCATGTATCACACGATTTATGCAACTTCTACATATGAAAAATTTGACAATACATTTGTAAAAAAACATATCGTCTGATAGAGCCTTAAACAACTTGATTTAGCTGTACGCTTGGTAGAAGAATACAGATAGTCACATCGACACAGCTGCTAAGACAATGAACTGTCAAACCAATTCTGGAATTGAAAACTTTGAATGAAAAATTATTCAAATTTGTAAAAATTGTTTAAAAATGCATATCTTAAGAGCACATATAAAAAACTGCTAATTTTTTTAAATCATTTAAAAAATTTTGACATATCATAATAATCAATAAATGTGGCATCATAACAGCTTGATGTAAACGTCGTCTGAACTTTGTTTTATTTACAATAGTTCATCATGGTATAAGAATATATGTAGACGCGTCGACACAGCTGCTGGGACAATTAACTGTCAAACCAATTTTGGAATTGAAAATATTGAATGAAATTTTTTAAATTTGTAAAAATTGTTGAAAAACGCGAATTATAATGGCCTCCGAATGACGTAGTATAAGAAAACATATAAAAAATCTACTTATATTTGAAAAAAAAAACATTTAAATGTTTTTGGCATATCAATGCTCCCAAGCGTTGATGCATCTATCTGTATTCTTCTGCCATGATATTTCATAGAGTTAAAAATGTTAACTTTTTAATTCCGATTTTGTGAAGACATTAATTTCTAGACCAATGTAAATGATATATAAGTATTATGATAGGTTCACACATTCGATTAACTTCACTAAAGTAATTTACCATTACTAATTTCTATTTTTTCTCCTTTCCAGGTTTAACAAATGGCCAGCATTAATGGACGACCGGCCCAATATGGGGTATCACTTCGGCAATTGCGCGAACTCATGGAGAATCGTGGCCGTGAGGGTGCTGCCAAAGTCGAAGAAATGGGTGGTGTGATGGAGTTGTGTAAAAAACTATACACCTCGCCCAATGATGGTTTGAATGCATCGAAAACTGATATTGAACATCGGCGTGAAACATTTGGTTCGAATATTATACCGCCAAAGCCGCCGAAATCATTTTTCCGATTAATGTGGGAGGCAATGCAGGATGTGACATTGATTATCTTAGAAGTGGCTGCCATTGTATCACTGGCATTGTCATTCTATGCACCAGAAGAGGAGAATGCACGTAAGTTGAGGGGGGTGCGAAATGAGATTTCTATGTTGAAAACATAAAATTTACTTTTCTTTACAGCCGTCTTGGAAGAGGAAGAAAGTCACCATGGTTGGATTGAGGGTTTAGCCATTTTGATTTCTGTTGCTGTTGTCGTCATTGTCACCGCCTTTAATGATTTCTCCAAAGAACGTCAATTCCGTGGCCTGCAAAATCGCATTGAGGGCGAACACAAATTTGCGGTTATACGCAAAGGTGAAGTTTGTCAAATTTCAGTTGGTGATTTGGTTGTGGGTGATATTGCCCAGATTAAATACGGTGATCTGCTGCCAGCCGATGGTATTATCATTCAAAGTAATGATTTGAAGGTGCGTTATTCTTAGCACATAGGACAATGATATTTATTACAAACAAAAAAACCTTATTTCCCTAGATTGATGAATCCTCGTTGACTGGTGAATCGGATCATGTTAAGAAAGGTGTGGATTCCGATCCCATGGTCTTGTCGGGAACTCATGTCATGGAAGGTAGTGCTAAAATTGTCATTACTGCTGTTGGTGTCAATTCGCAGGCTGGTATTATTTTTACCCTTTTGGGTGCCACCGATGATGAACACGATACGGAAAAGAAGAAAGCCAAGAAAGGTATGTTTCAACAAAAAAATGTAAAGTTTACATGGGTAAATAGGTTTTTGTTGAGGCGTTATCGATTTCATAGTATGTGCACATAAGAGCTTTTTGGTAGGTTAATCTGCTCCATTATAAATTGGCAATTTAAATTTAAGGCTCTATCAGACGACATGTTTTTCACATATTTGGTGTTAAATTTTCCGTATGCAGAAGTTGCACACATCGTCTGATACATAGACGACATTTTCGTAGTGTAATACACGAGTAAAGTACATATGTACTTTTTCGATCACGGGAGCCCTATTTTCATCAGAAAAATATACTTTAATCATGTGTTGTTTGTAACTTAATGTTGCATACAATGCTCGTATGAACTCGGCATAACATTATTTAACGGGCATCATGTACTGTACAGTTATCTTTTGTCATTAACCATGTTCACATGCCTTAATATATTGTGTTGGTGAAGAAAACTCGTGGCAGTGGAAATTTTATGGGGAAACCGTTAGTTTTTCTCTTTTTTTTTTGAAAATGAGCTGCCAATTTATTTAAAATAATTAATAATTAATTCCTTCTTGATTTCTTAATGAATTCTTTTTTTCATTTCTTTTTAGAAAATGGACACAAGAACGGCATCAAATCCGAAGGCAATCATGTACAAAGTCCCCCGGCCAAATCTTCCGGCGATGGTGATAAAAAGGAAAAATCTGTATTGCAAGCAAAACTTACCAAATTGGCCATACAAATTGGTTATTTCGGTTCAACAGCTGCTGCCATTACTGTTATTATTCTGATCATACAATTCTGTGTTAAGACCTTTGTCGTCGAAGAGAAACCCTGGAAGAATACCTATGCCAATAATTTCGTTAATCATTTGATTATTGGTGTGACCGTATTGGTTGTGGCTGTGCCTGAGGGTCTGCCATTGGCCGTCACCCTGTCGTTGGCCTATTCGGTTAAGGTAAGCGAGGAAAGAAGCAGAAAATGTGTTGTCATATGACAAATCTGCCATAAACGACTGAAACACAATGGAAAACTGTGGCTTTGACAAATCTCATTTGTACTTAGCATGCAAAGCGACAACTCTTCCATTGTGTTTTGGCCTCCAACTTGAAAAACACTACTTCGCAACACTTTATATTAATAAATACTATCCAAAACTACCTTAGGGATTGAAACACAATGGGAAACTGTGTCTTTGGCAAATTTCAGTTGTACTTGAAATGCGAAGCGACAAATCTTTCATTGTGTTTCTGCCTCTAACTATGAAAAACACAACTTCGCAACACTCTATATTAATAAATACGATTTTTTGTGCATTCATTAGAAAATTATAAAAGATAATAACCTTTTGACAAATTTCAATTTTACATGGCATGCAAAGCGACAAATCTTTCATTGTGTTTCGGCCTCTAATTTTGAAAAACACTACTTCGCAACACTTTATATTAAAAAAAAAATATCCAGAACTACTATAAGAACTGAAACACAATGGGGAAACTGTCGCTTTGACAAATTTCAATTGCGCATGGCATGCGAAGCGACAAATCTTTCATTGTGTTTCGGCCTCTAAACTCTGAAAAACACTACTTCGCAACACTCTTTATTAATAAATACCATAATTTTTTGCATTCCTTAGAAAATGATAACAGATAATAACCTTTTGACAGATTTCAATTTTACATGGCATGCAAAGCGACAAATCTTTCATTGTGTTTCGGCCTCTAACTTGGAAAAAACACTACCTCCCAACACTTTTTATTAATAAATACTATTTTTTTTTTGCCTTCGCTAGAAAATGATGAAAGATAATAACCTGGTACGTCACTTGGATGCTTGCGAGACCATGGGTAATGCCACCGCCATTTGTTCCGACAAGACTGGTACCTTAACCACCAACCGCATGACTGTGGTTCAATCGTATATCTGCGAGAAGTTATGCAAAATTTTGCCCAAATACAATGACCTGCCCAAACATGTGGCCGACTTGGTTACCCAGGGCATTTCGGTCAACTCTGCCTATACCTCGAATATTTTGGTAAGTTAAGATCTAAAACAAAACACTAGCTTACAAATTTTAATAATTGATTTATTTTGTAGCCTGCTCCCAAACCCGAAGACTTGCCCACCCAGGTTGGCAACAAGACTGAATGTGCCCTCTTGGGTTTTGTTCAAAACTTAGGAGTTAGCTATCAAAAGATTCGCGATGAGATTACCGAAGATAAATTCACTCGTGTCTACACCTTTAATTCGGTGCGCAAGAGCATGGGTACTGTAATTCCTCGGCCCAATGGTGGTTATCGTCTGTTCAGCAAGGGTGCCTCCGAAATTATGCTGAAGAAGTAAGTAGAACATTTGAGGGGGGGGGATGAAAAAGCAAGCCTAACTCCTCCTTGTTGCAGATGTGCCTATATCTATGGCAACAATGGCGTTTTGGAAGAATTCACCAGCGAAATGCAGGAACGAATGATCCGTGAAATCATTGAACCCATGGCCTGTGATGGTCTACGTACCATCTGTGTGGCCTATCGTGATTTTGTCCAGGGCCCGGCCGCTGTGAACGAAGTTGCCATTGATGGTGAACCCAACTGGGATGATGAGGAAAATATCATGTCCAACCTGACATGCTTGTGTATTGTGGGCATTGAAGATCCTGTCCGCCCCGAGGTGCCCGATGCCATACGCAAGTGTCAACGTGCCGGTATTACGGTACGCATGGTTACTGGCGATAACATCAATACGGCTCGTTCCATTGCCACCAAGTGTGGTATCTTGAAACCGGGTGATGATTTCTTGATTTTGGAGGGCAAGGAATTCAACAAGCGTATTCGTGACAGCAATGGCAATGTAAGTTGTGGGCGAATTTTATACCGACGGAGAATTGAGATTTCACGATTTACCTCTTCCTAGGTACAACAACATTTGGTCGATCAAGTTTGGCCCAAATTGCGAGTTTTGGCACGTTCCTCACCCACGGACAAATATATTTTGGTTAAAGGTTTGTATTACATGAAAATAAGAAGGTTTTCGGAATGTCCTGAAAAATCTGTAAAGAAGAGGAGAGAGTGAACCACCCACAGGGACATTGAAACGGGGGAGGGCAAACTTAGTGTTTTTACCCACTTAGGTAAAGTTATATCTAGGTGCCAGCAACATTTCTATAGTTGTAATGTGAAATGGCGCCCAACCATAGACATTCCTGCCAAATCATTCCTGCCAATTTTTTTGATCAAAAATTGAGCAAAGGTGGTAGCGGCTTTCCGTCAACGGTGTTTGTGCCCTTAGCTCTAGGGGCTAGTAGAATTCCTGGGTTTGCTGCCTATCAGTAGTTGAAGGTGTCATGGCGCCCAATAGTAATCATGAGTTCTTTTAGTTTAGTTTAGAACTAATGACCTTTGATAGCGACTGTTGCGTCACATTGGAACGTAAAATCTTCCCCACTAAATTTTTGATTGAACATTGAGACATTTTTTTCTTTTTATTTCCTTTTACATTCTTCCAAATTTAACCATTCTCTCTCCCCCCTTTTCTAGGTATTATTGACAGTACGGTTAGTGAGAATCGTGAGGTTGTTGCTGTGACAGGTGATGGCACCAACGATGGTCCCGCTCTCAAAAAGGCTGATGTTGGTTTTGCCATGGGTATTGCCGGTACTGATGTTGCCAAGGAGGCTTCCGATATTATCCTAACCGATGACAACTTCAGCAGTATTGTAAAGGCTGTTATGTGGGGTCGTAATGTTTACGATTCCATTGCGAAATTCTTGCAATTCCAATTGACTGTAAATGTGGTGGCTGTTATTGTGGCATTCGTCGGAGCCTGTGCTGTGCAAGATTCTCCTTTGAAGGTGAGATAAAGAAATTTATTGGAAAAATATCGTTTAATGTGCAAATGTTTTTTTCAGGCTGTACAAATGTTGTGGGTCAACTTGATTATGGACACCTTGGCCTCATTGGCTTTGGCCACAGAATTGCCAACACCCGATCTATTGTTGCGTAAACCCTATGGACGTACAAAGCCCTTGATTTCGGCCACCATGTTAAAGAACATTGTTGGCCAATCGATTTATATGTTGGCGGTCACCTTTGGCTTGTTGTTCTATGGCGCCAAATGGCTGGATATTGAATCGGGCCAAGATCAACCCTTGGGTTCCGGTCCCACTCAACATTTCACCATTATCTTCAATGCCTTTGTCATGATGACTTTGTTCAATGAAATCAATGCCCGTAAAATCCATGGTCAGCGTAATGTCTTTGCCGGTCTCTTTACCAATCCCATTTTCTACACAATTTGGATCTTCACTTTCGTTTCCCAGGTACCATGAAAATATTTAGAATTTTAAACCCCTTTTAACCCCACCAAACTTTACTTCTCTTTAGATTGTCATCATTCAATACGGCTCCTTGGCCTTCTCCACAAAAGCTCTTTCGTTGGAACAATGGATGTGGTGCGTTGCCTTTGGCATGGGCACATTACTGTGGGGACAAATTGTCAGCACTTTTCCACCAAAGAAATAAACATAAGTCACAAAGTTGTTGTTTTCCTCCGCCTTAATGTGTCGCCCTCTCTAAGAGAGCGACACACAAAAAAAAAACAAAATGTTCATAAACAAATTCTTAGCACATAACTAAACAGTATTTATTAATAATTTAAAGAATCTAGCGAATGTTTTAGAAAGAAAATGAAAATGAGAATCATCCCGTCATCGCAATCATTTAATGCAAATAAAGTGAAATTCATTTTATATTTATTAAATTTATGATGTCAAACAAATTGTCAATAATTGCAGAATCGTAACACAGGGGGCAATGTTAAAATATTATAAGCAGTCTACATATTTACGACAAGTCTGCTTAGGAATAGTGAAACATACATCGCTTCTCGAAATTAAAATGTTTTTCATTGAATGATTTTTTGTCCTAACTAATCATTCGACTTTTTTTGACAGTTTCTTCAAATATATTAATAGGTTCTGATTTACACTAGGCGAGTTTACTGGCTGCAACTTTGAACGTTGTCTTATGAACTTGTCTCTTTTAATCATACAGGGCAAATATTTTCAGCAATTTTCTGTTGCATCATTGTCTTTTCTGTCATTTTTTATTATATATTTGTATAAAAATAAAAGCACAAAGGGTCAGATGTTGCAGTACGAGCAATATTTTCCTATTATGTATTATTTTCCTATTATCCTGTGAAGACGATGAATATTGCTTCTAAATATTTGTTAGTCAAAAGTCGACCTTTAAAACCCTTCCCTCAGCATTTCGTCATGTCTCTCATTTGTAAACAAAGCTCTTGGCTATTATGCATTACACTCATTCGTAAACAACGAAGCCTCTCGGTCATTTTGCCTTATTCCTATTTTTCAGCGGTTATTCTCTTTTGCCATACTAGTTTGTATTGGTTGGAGCGTTTTTTAATTTTACGCCGTTCAAATCCAAGATGGCGAGAAACGGCGTTAATTTTGCTCATTCGGCTGTGTTGTCTTCACACACACTTGTTATTAATGTTTTTATTTTCATCGACGAATTAGCTTTCTTTTGTTTATTAGTTATTTTTTGTTAAAAAGAAAGTGTTTTGTATAAATCATGGAATTCTGGAAAGTCTCTATTATTGCAATAATGGCTATTTATTATTGTACACAAGGTAGTTTAGGGCTCACGCCCGTAAATAAAAGTTTTCTGAAGAAACCCCACCCCAATTACTGTTGTTGTTGTTTTTTTTGCTTTCAGTTAACTTTGTGGCTGGCCTGGAATGTTATGTTTGTTCCAATCAAACGGGTAATGTGGAGAAATGCTTGAACACCATTAAAACCTGTGAACCTGGCGAGGATGTTTGTGGCACCGAAATCCGTTGGGGCAGTCAACCATATTTCTCACAGGGCGCCCTCAAACAGTACTATGTATCGAAACGTTGCATGACCAAACAACGCTGCCAAGCCCAACGTAAACGTCATATGCCCTATTGCACACACATTTGGTATGAAGATTGGTCGTGTCATGAATGCTGCCAGGGTGATCGCTGTAATTACTTTGTTATTGTGAGTAGTTTTTAAAACCCTAACACAAAAAGGGGGGAGCTATATTGGTTTATTAGATTGTAATGGATTTTTAAAAACTATGGACATACGGATGAAGTTCTGGTAAATTTTCTAGTCTTGGTATTCTCCCTAGAACAATTTTGTAGAATAATTGGTTGCTTAAACTATAACCGCGCCACAAATTTGTCACTTTAAAGCTTGAAACTCTGGCAAAAATTTAGAGATTTTACAAGCGTCAAAGTGTTACCTATTATTTTGGATTTTCGAACTCTTAGACAGATGCCATGCTTATATAGCCCATTCTTAGTGTATTTTTTTAAGTTATACAAACTAAAACCAAGTTGTTTTTATTCTTTTTCAGAGTGGTTCTTCAAAACTTGATGGTGCCATAAACTCAGTGATTGGAATCGTATTCGTTACAGTGTTAGCAGGACTACGAAAAGCAATCGTATCGTATTAAGCTGCAGATAAATATGTATTGAAAAATATACATAACTCGAATACATTTTTATATTTATAATCCGTCCATAAAACAAGTGCTCTTATCCTTCTAAGAATCTCTTAAAAAAATCAAATACTACAAAACATGACTAGGCATTTAGTATTAAAAGTTTTTATACACATTTATTTAATCTGTATTTTTTAAATAGTAAAAAAACTACATTCCTACATTACGCACATTCCGTCCACACGTTCAAATTGTTTTTACATATATTATTTTTGTAGTTAATTAAATAGTTTTTATATGTAATGCCAAAAAACGAATAAACTACAATTGTTTTACACTTTATAGCACTCAAGTGTTTCATTGAAGATAGTTATCATTATGGCACTCTAGAGCGAACATCATCCAATGAATATTAATTGACTAATTCAATCCATTTTCTCATTTCATGTCAAACTTATCATTAGGTTGTTAATTTTTATTATGGGGCCAATGAGAAAATCATGTGTACATTGTAGCTGGTAGTTAAACGGGGCAATAACACAAAATGGAATAGTTAGCTCTTTGCCATGGAAGCGGATAGAAGTTCTATGAATCAAATATCACACATTAATTTGAGTGAAATGTAAGTAATTAAAAGATATATACGAATAAAATTTTCAAATAAAAATAACATCTGTCTTTCTGCAGTGATTTAAGGGAGCAGGCCAGGTGTCAGAATAGCCGTATCCGCAGAGATGTTAAATGTAGAAATTCATGTATGAAAACCACCATGGCTCTCACAATCTTAGGTCTACATAATGTGCTGAATACAAGATTGCTGCTTTGATTTGTATATTTAAAATGTTAATGAAATATAAAAACAAATTGATACACAACATTTTCCATTTGTTGGCTTGAAAAGACTTTATGCGGGATTTCCTCATAAAAAATCTTTGGACAAATAACGTTTCAGGACATTTGGAGTCGATATAGCCATGCCCTTCCGTCTGTCTGGCTGGCTGGTGCGCACGATAACTCTCGAAGAGAATATCTGATTTGATCAAAACTTGGTACATCGTAATATTATTGTCAAACTTAGATCGAGTTCGGAGATGGGCAATATCGGTCCACTCCTTCTGGTACCTCCCCCACAAAATATCAACATTTTCGAAGAAAATAATTTACTGCACAGAAAGAGAAAGGATAAGCCGATTTTGCTCCAACTTTGCATATCCTAATATTTGTATCAGTGCTAGGTCAGGTGCGAAAATGGACAATATTGGACCACTCCATCAAGTACTTCCCATACAAAGGGTCATAATTTTGAATAATTATAACTCTTATAAAATGTGATATAAGTGTCCGATTGTCTTCAAATTACACACATCATAATATCTTTATTAACCCAATGTCTGGCGTCAAGATAGAATATATCGATCCACTTCTTCTGGTACCTCCCCCCACAAAGGGTCAATATTTTGAATATACATGAAGCTCATACAACACGAAATTAACCTCCGATTCCATTCAGACTTGGCACGTCTCAATATTTTCATCAACACAAGATCTGTAATAAAGATGGTAGAGATTCGACCATTCCTTCTGGTACTTCCCCCACAAAGGGTTAACATTTTGAATAACCAAAACAATCATAAAATACGAAATAAGCATCCACTTCTCTTCAAATTACACACATCGAAATATTTTTATTAACCCAAGGTCCGGTGTGAAGATGGTAGAAATCCGACCACACCTTCTGGTACCTCCCCCACAAAGGTTCAAAATTTTGAATATTTATGAAGCTCATAAAACACAAAGTTAACATCCGATTCCATTCACACTTGATACATCTCAATATTTCCATCAACACAAAATCCGTTGTAAATAGGGTAGAGATCGCACCATTTCTTCTGGTACCTTCCCCACATAGGGTTCAAGATTTTAAAAACCAAACGCTCAATTCTCCTCAAATTTCACACATCCAAATATTTTAGCTAACGCAAGATCTGTTGTGAAGATGATATATACATATCTGCCAACCCCTTCTGGTACCTCACCCACATAAGGTCACAATTTTTAATGCCTTTATCTGTCGCAACTTGCGAAACAAGTCAGCAATTCTTCACAACTTGCTGTATCTTTCTTAACCAAAAATCTGATATGAATATGTAATTTATGATTTCGGATAAAATTGGATATAAATGTTCGATTTCCTTCTAATTTGAATCTGTATTCGATGGAGTATGAAAATAGAATACTTCGGTCCCCTTTATCTGTTACCTCACGCATATTTCCACATTTTCCAAAAATGTGCACATATCTCATGTAAAGTATAGGAAGTAGTCGATATAGTCCAAATCTGGCATGTTGTAGTATTTATACCAGTCTTAGGTCAGATACGAATTGGTCAATATTGGCCAACTGCTTCGGAACCTCGTCCATAAAGGGTCAACAGTTTAAATAATCATAACTCAAGACTGGGGATATAAATCTGTCGGCAATACTGACTGATATTATTTTAGATGTTTGTTTTTCAGCTTCATCTGAAATATCCAAAATTAAATTTGTTTTTTCTTTGTTTACTATATTTAATTTTATTATTATAATTTTCTTTTTTAATATTATTATATATTATACATAATTTATAATACATCATCATCATTTTCATTATTTAAATACAAACTATATAAAGTGTTTTACATTTTTTTTCTTGTTGTTGTTGTTGTTGTGTTAATGTTTTCAATTTATAATAAAATGCTTGCTAAAACGTAAACGTATACCAAAAAGAAAAATATATATTTATATGGAAAACACTTCAAAAAATGTGGTTAAATGCCAAGCCAAACAAATAAATAATCTGTAAATATTTGTGTGTGTGGATTTAAAGAGTAAATAAAAGACATGCCAAAAATTAAAAACAAAACAGAAAAAAATGAAATATTTCAAACAAGAAAACTTTAGGCAAACTGAGGAAAAATTTAGGTAAATTATTGGTCTCTATTTATATATAATCTTAAGTTTATAAAGAAAATATACTTCATATTTAGATTTTCTTCCTACAGTTAATACGAGTCCAAATATTCAGCAAAGAAGTTGTTTCATTTATTAGAAAACAAAGAAAACACAAAGAAGGCGCACATAAAAATCACAATGATTGCTTGAATCAACAAAATAGTTATTAGCATTTGAAGAGTTGTGGTGTGTGAGGGGAGAGGGGAGGAGGACAAACAATTCAATATCATATTTTAAATTAATTTTTAGTTCCAAGGACCTTTTGTAAGTATAAAATGTTTCAAATTTGTTTCTCTGTATTGGAAAAAAATCCGTTGAAAGGTATTCTCCTTTTGTTTTCAGCAAACTTTTAGACAAGGGGGAAAGGAATATATGGAATTGAAAAAAAAAACGTTTCAGCACATCCACCAATCCGAAAAAGTGGAATTTGTAGTGTGTTGAAAAACAATTTTAAAGTTGAAAGGAATATAATTTACAGTTCATCTTTTGTTAATAGAGTGTAGCGATTTTTAGATGGTCCCAATTTCTTGAATGTTGACTCGGGCGGTGATGTATTTGAGTTCACATCGACTTGGATTTCATTTGTCACTGGATCTGGACCATAATGGAATTCCCTGAAATTATGAAAAAAGAAAGAAAATTAGATGATGATACAACATTTACTGTATTTATATACTAGAAAGATAAACAATGCGCGAACATATCTGATGGTTGTTGAAAATAAAGCAAAAGTATAGCTCAGCTAAAAAAAGCAAGATGGAAGATGTGGGGAAAACCTACAAAAAATATTGCCCAGATTATAGCTCAAAAGTATTCCGCCTTGGGGGCATAACTGATTGCTTTCGGACGCATCCCCAGGTTGCAGATAGTGGAAAGCCCAGTAGATACACTGGATAGCTGCGAATTGAATAGGCAGTCGCGGACAGTCGGTGCGACTGGGGGAGATATTCGGCTTAAATAACCCAGTTCAAATGATCCTTAGACCAATTAGGCTATGCGTCGGCGGCCCTAGGATAAACAAATATCTGGACCGGCCCCTATAAAGAGGACCCCGTAACGATGGGGTGGGTGTTAGTTGACCACGTTCGCATCATTGTTACAGGTTTGCAGTCCGGGTACCGACTGTATTTTAATAGAGCTTCGTTGATACTTTGGCGCCTCAACGAAAACTAGGTTTAATTACCGAGTCCTTACCATTGTAAGGAGGTTATGCCTTGGTCGACCATGGTAGCTGTAAATTGAATATGTAGTTTAAAGCGAGTTGGATGCTTATTTCGCTTTCTTTGAGCGTTTTGTTTTTCAAAATATTGAATCCTATGCGGGGGAGATACCAGTAGGACTGCGCGGATATATCCCATCTTTACAGCAGACCTTGTGTTAGTAGAAATAGTGGGATGTGCGAAATTTTAAGAAAACCGGATGCTTATTTCAATTTGTATGATAGTTTCGGTTATTCAAAATTTTGAACCTTTGTGGAGGAGGTAGGAGGAGGAATGGTCCGATCTCTACCATCTTCATAACAGGTCTTGTGTTATCGAAAATGTGAAGATGCCGGAAATATGAAGAGAACCATTCGGATTTTATAATCGTATAGGTTATTGTAAACTTTAAACCTTTGTGTGGGAGGTACCAGAAGAAATGGTCCGATCTCTACCATTTTCGCAGCAGATCTTGTGTTAATAGAAATAATGAGATGTGTGAAATATAAAGAGAACCGGATGCTTATTTCGGAGTTTATGATCGTTTTGGTTATTTACAATGTTGACCTTTTGTGGGGGAGTTCCTAGTAGGAATTGTCCGATCTCCATCATCTTTATAACATATCTTGTGTTGATGGAAATATTGAGATGTGCCAAGTCTGAATGGAATCGGATGTTTATTTCGTGTTTTATGAGCTTCATGAATATTCAACATTTCGACCCCTCTGTGGGGGAGGTACCAAAAGGAGTGGACCGATATATTCCATCTTCACACCAGACCTTGGTTTCATAGAAATATTGAGATGTGTGTAATTTGAAGACAATCGGACTCTGACATCACATTTTATAAGAGTTACAATTATTCAAAATGTTGACCCTTTGTAGGGAAGGTACTTGATGGAGTGGTCCGATATTGTCCATTTTCACACCTGACCTAGCACTGATGGAAATATTAGGATTTGCAAAGTTTAAGCAAAATCGGATTATCCTCTCTCTTTTTGTGCAGTAAATTATTTTCATTGAATATGTTGACATTTTGTGGGGGAGGTACCAGAAGGAGAGGCCCGATATTGCCCATCTTTGAACTCGATCTAAGTTTGACAATAATATTACGATGTACCAAGTTTGGATCTAATTGGAGACTCCCTTCGA